AGGAAGTTGTAATATGGCGTGTTTCAGTGATCCTTATGTAAATTATGAATTAGTGAATCGAACATGTAATTTAGTTACGTTGGCAACAAGCTGTAATGAATCATATCGCAATGTGCACGACCTTAAATTATAACGTCGCAGACATTGTAAACGTAATTATTCAACGCGTTCCGTTGTTGCGAAAAGAAACATACCCTCATTACAGTTGCAAAACCGACTCCACTATGCGTTTAATTGCACACCAGCACGTTTAAAATCAGATTTTGAGAAGACTTAGCTTAACGAGAGCTGAAACTTCAGCTGGCTGGCCGGGCAGTGGAAGGATTGCAGCACGAGTTGCGGTGCAGGCGTTCGCAGCAGAGAAATCCATTGCGTTGCGTTTCAACCCATAACGCAGAACGTCGTCATCTTGCCTGACTACGAATGCGAAGGTACAGTTGCTGTGTCTAGTCACTGCTCGATGTATGACCAATTTACTTTAAACTAAAGCGAAGGTAAAACCGCGAGACTTTCAACCCTGCGAGCTAAAGCCGTGCCTTTACGACCCTAAAACGGCCACCATGAGCCAGGCGGACAATGGTGCGCGGTCGTACAACGACTACCGCTGGGACTTCGGAGAATGGAGTCAATGTTCCGCTTCGTGTCTTGGAGGTTTGCATAGGATACAAACGCTCTGTCTTTGTTGTGAAATAAATGTCTGCGTTATTTCAGGGCGAAAAACGGCCAATTTGAAATGCATTCAGGTGTCCACAAGCAGGGAAGTAGCCTGGTCGAACTGCAATGCGAAACAGAGACCAGCCAACATGACCAGAGAGTGCAACAATGTCCCTTGTCCGCCAAAGTGGGAGGTATTTGGCAGTGGACTAACGCATTAACGCTGTCGACCGCTCATTAATTGAATTTTTGTAAACGCAGATCGGAGGATGGTCAGAATGTAGTCACACTTGCGGAGGTGGGGTCAGAACGCGCCAGACCAGATGCATTCGTGAAATAAACAGAACTCCAAACATCGCAAACGTGCTGATTTTGTCGGACAGCCAGTGCCCGTCGCCAAAGCCTATTGAGCAGCAGGTATGCTCCATGGAAGACTGTCCGCCATATTGGAGAACAGGTCCTTG